TTATTCCGATAAGAAGGTCATTTCCATGAAACAACTACCCAAAGATGTGGATGAGCGAGTGTGATTGCAAGTACTGGACGAAATTTTCGTAAACAAATCACTTTCAGTTACAAACGTTCGTTTATATAATCGAGAGGATGTTGCAAAAATAACAAAACAATACAGTGATAGGATGACTTCAAAAAACTTGTTTCTTCCGTATCAGAGAACCGCATTCACTTGAGTGGATGTTGTTGTGACTGACGGTTTATTCAGTTAATTTTAATTAAACGATAATTCGCTGTTGTAATCATCGATCTTAACGAATAACTTGTTTGGAATATCACACCTGTGTGATTTCCGCTCGAACTGATGCGAATTCCCTTTCAATTTGAGTTGAAGTGTATGATAAGTGTTCTTAAACAGTGATAACGGAACGCAAGTGAAACTGATAGTTTTTGTGAGCGATGCGCAAATCATTTTTTGTTTGCTCTTGTGTAATAAATTGAGAGATTGCATACATTTGTATAAGGAAGCTACGCATTTAGGGATGATGAATTTTGGTATTTTCGGTTATCAACAGATCAATACCGTTCTCTGAATAAGCTTCAGCATATTTATTTGATTATTTTCTCAGAAAGAGATTCAATTTTCAGGGGAATTCTTACAAGACGTATAAATTATCTGAAAAACATTCATTTTTCGCCAAAGATTAATGCATATCGCAAGTTGAAAATCAACTTTCACTTTACTATTTCTTACTGATCGACAACGGCGAACGTCAAAGTGCATTGGGTCACACGAACTATCTATCGATAACAGGAGTGAATTTGATGACCAATATCATTAGTATTATCATTAATTAAATTGAACGAAGACAGTTTATTGAATAATCATGAATTTTAACTGGTGTCCCATAAATACACAAACACACATGAATATGGAGGTACAGAAGTGCTAATCACGTTTCACAACGACAGTGTTTGAAATGCATAGCAATGCACATCGTCGTATTGGGCTTGACAAAACATGTTGGTTCGAGCCACGTAACTAAAATCTTGCATCGAACAAATCACATGAAAGTAACCACCAAGCGTGTCTTCAGCCAACTTTTGTATATCACGTTTCGATGATGTTACACTTCTGCTGATTGCCTGAAACTTTTCAAATGCTGCAGTTGAGTTCAATCAATGATTTTCAAAATCAGAGTTAAAAGCCAGTCGTAGTGAATAACTGATTTCAGATGATAGTCGAGACTCCTAATCGCTATCGATTCAATTTGTATCTAATTGAAGTTCGAATAAGCTTAAAACTCCGGCCCTTGGCTGTCAAATTCCAAGCTTGATATTAATAAGCTAGAGAAGAAATGCTTGGTACTAATAACAAAAAAGTTCACAGGCAAGTAAACGTGGAAATATGGAGGAGTTCATTTTCACGTTCAAGTGATCTAGATTTAATGCATTGTTGATCTTTATTTCAATAAACAATTGAAAGTTTATCCATAGAGGATAGCGCATGTTTCCATGATTGAGCTCATTTCATGAAAAATATTTCTGTTCACGTCCGAGAGATATTCAAGAGATTTCGAACCGTCTTCATGATATTGCGAAGCTTCTCGCTGTTGCACTTTGTCTCCGCCAGCGATTCCTCTGCTTCTGTTGTGCCATTGTGATCTTTTTGTCCGTTGCTCACAGAATCCAAATTCCTTCTGCTACGATAATGACACAAACCAGCACATCGAATACAGCAATCGTTCAGAGGAGTTTGGGTTTGACTGAAAACTGCGTTATCATTCTCGTGGTCATGCTCAATTATTCAACCGAATTGTCTGAAGATGACGCTTTAAGCAATCACTGACCCAAAGTAAGAATGTGCTCTGACGGGCACACCAATTTCTGGCACTGGAATATTCTGCGCATTTAGTTGATGGGCTTTTGATGCGGTCGTGTATTGTGATAGCATGGCATTCTTCATATATGCGGCTACTGCGGAACGTTCAGCGCCAGTCAGCTTCGCCCAGAAGGGTTCCGCTTGAGCGATTCCTTCCAGAGGCGCTTTTTGGGCATGGAAAACGTTTTCTTCGGACGCTGTTTTCTGAAAATCATTCGGTTTTCAAAGCAGACAAATTTCGATTCGATTTGAGTCTGTGTTATGGGAAAATTTAATCAAATTGAGCGATGAGACGGCTGGCTCGACTGCATCCGAGTGTATGTTTCGCCCCTATTCAAGTGCATGATGTGTTTTCAGTTCACTTTTCCTAGGAATGTTTTCAGTCAATTGCTCATTTGATTAAACTTATGAAGTGACTTGAGAATGTCTGATTAATCCTTATGGGAACACTCACTTCATATTATTTCAATTTCATTTCATTCTCATGTTGTTTCAGAACACATTTATTTTGCTCATACATACTAATGTCCAGTAACGAATGGTCCTAAGTGCAATCTTAATTTGTCGATTGAGTTGAATAAAAATGATTAGAGTAGAGCTGAAAGAATTCATTGAGAAAGAGAGTTGAATGTGAACATTCATAGTGATCGAAGTGCATTGCACTATCCATACTGTATTGCCCACTTCCATAAAAGAATGGGTTGTCATAAAGTTATTTCTGTACTGCATCCATTGCGCACAAGAACATCTATCTGATTCACCAGGTTCTAAACTAATTTGAACGAAGCAAACTTCAGTGGCCTTAACCGGTGTTACGTCGGCCGTATCAAATGGTGACGCATGAATATTTTGACGAGCAATTTCCGATACGTCCAAATGTGCGGGCAAATGAGCGTTTAGTCGTTCTTTTTCTCTCAAGAGGTTGTAATAGTTGTAAGGCGCAGTGTAATCGTAGCCAGTCACAGACGGACTTATCACAGGCGAATATCCTGATCGAACCGGTATATTGGGAAAACTGAAAAAGTGCAGAAATCATTCAGAATACAAAACAAAAAATCAGTGAAGAGAATTCAGAAAATAGGAAAACTGTCAGTGAAGATGAAGAGTGCAAGATGATTAACCTTGAATAAGGATGATATCCTCCTGAAGCAGGCAAAATACATGATGCAGGAATGGGAGGACATGGCGGGGCTGGTGGACAAGCGCTGTGAGGTTCAGCGCCAGGTCGTAGGGGTGTCTGAGACTGAATTTGTGGTTGGAGTGGACCTTGAAAATGAGGTTGAAAAGAGGACGATTGAGATCCGAGCGGATTGTACGGCTGAAAGGTGGATCGAGTGGGTAGCGAACAAAGGCATGGGCCGCTGAAGTATTGAGCGAATCCACAATGACCGAAGAACACTAGCACAGAGATGAAAGCCAACATGGTGTTCAAAACCTAAAAAATGCACACTTCTATTTGACATAGAATTATTTAAACTAAAATGGAGCTATGAAATAAGAACTGATACGAAATTTTTTAGACGATGCTAAGATCGTATGAAGCTAAAGAAATCAAAACATTCTGTTAGATGAAGAGCTGTGATATTAAAATGATTCAAAATTTCAATTACTGCTCCAGGACAGCTTCGATAGCTTTCCTGTATAAACTGATAGTTTAAAAAAGGAGTTAAGATGATGTTTCAGTCGCAAAAGAACATCTTAACGAAATGATTGGCTGTGTGAGTGCTAATTCAATGGAATAATCGGTTTTGAAAGAGATAAAAATATGAAGTGTAAAAAAATTCATGCTCATAAATTCTACTGAACTAAAAATTCGGACGAATCTGTAAACTTTCAAAACAGTCTCATCCTAAACAATGAACTGAAGAGTACGAATTTCGTTCAGCTGTAGAAAACACGTCGTAAGAAATTGAGTGACTAGTGAAAAAATAATACAAGGATATGACTGAATGTTAAATGAGGATATTCATTGTGAAATGAGTAAAGAAGATATTGGAAGAGTGCTTTTATGGTTGTTAATGTTAGTCATTCAAGGATTAGTCGCTAAATTGTGCTCATTATCTGAGGAGTGAACGAATATTTTGGTGATGTTGAGCCGAAGGATTAATTTTTGCAAGATGACAATGGAGCGGATTACAATCTGAAGTAACCATACCTTATACCAGTTTCATTTATGTTCCATTCATTCGTTTGCATTTAATTGAACAAGTCCGATTTACATTATGAACAGATGTAGTGTTTATGTGTAATTTTGGTATCATTCGAAGAAAGAAACAAGAAAACAAAATATGTAATAATTGTTTATGAAGTCCTTGCTTGTCGTATAAATAATTTCGCACATGTTGTCGAAAAAGTTCGATAACCTTAGCAGAAGCGAATAATGAATCAAAGATTATCAAGTGTACACTCTCTAACAAATGAAGTCTCATGAAATTTACCCCAAGTTCCCATCGGTTAATTCAAATTCGATCAATACGAATGAAATAACCTTTTTTGACCTATTCGAAAAAAAATTCCGACAGCTAAGATGAATGAGTTGTTCGAAAGATTATAAAAAGTAAAATGCTGTGATAATAATATTATTTCATAAAAATGCAAAACGAAATTTGATACACTCCAAGAAATGTCAATGATTTCGTGGAAATATTGGCAAGTTGATGAGGACCTTTGAATAGCAATCTGCCACTCGAAATGCACCGCTCAGTTAGTGAATTGACAGAAATTATGGTGGAAAAATTCTGCAATATGATTGATAAATTGCGCAAGTGAACGCGATTGGTCTTATGAACTAATGATTGATGACTTGAAATTAAATACAGAAGTGCAATAGTTTTCTTTCTAATTGGCCGTAAACTGCGATCACAGTTACTTTCCTATTTCGAATACTTAATCAAAAAAAAAATTACAATTTATTGTCTATGAATACGCTTTGTGTTTCACGAGGAATTGTTTACACAATATCACAGACTTGTTTCCTAGGATTTATTAGACTCAACGCAGTTAGCACTTCAGACGTGCCTGATTAGTTACCCAGCAAAAAAAATGGTTCAAATTACAAATTGAAGCGCAAATATTTGCCCATTTGAAGGTTTGTGTGCGTTTAAGAAGAGTGCTTTTATGGTTCCAACGTTTTTTGCGGTTTTGGATTTATTTACATATGACGTGAATAAAGCACTGAATGTGTGCACATGCGATGTGATCGTGTGGTGATTCAATGGCATATCGTTAAGCATTTTGTTGATGTGCTATATCGAAGCAGAATTGTGAAAATTCACACCAAAAAAAATCGCCAAATTTTCCGCATTCAGCTGG